AACTTTCATAAATCTTTATCAAAAATTTTTCATCAACTTTAAAGAACCAAAAAAATAGGTTAAAATTGAAAATTTGGACTGATTATTTTTAACATATTAAAAATCAAATCAGTAATAATTTGAAAACAAATTTTTTTTTCTTTTAATTATTATTTTATATATATAATTAGTAATAATATAAAAAATTAGAAGTGATAGAAATAGTCTACTTGCAGATTTGAAAACAACGCGAAAATTTGATTTAGAAAAGTATATTTTTGCTTCTGATGAAAGTTCCTTGTAGTCCAGTGCATTTTTTTATAGTAACAAACAGTTTTTATTGAAAATTATTGTATCAAGCCCTTTAAATTTTTATACACGTAAAAGTAAAGCAAAATATAACTTCTTTATTATTTTTATAATTTCTCCGTTTAAATTACAATATTAAATATCAATTTCATACTAAATTTAATAATTATAATTAGTATATATTCAAATATTATATTTTAAAATCAAAGAACTACTAATCATGATATAATTAAAGAAATAAGAGTTGATGTTGCTTTTGGAATAATCCACCAATTGCCTAATTAAAACAAAAAAAAAAAAAGTTTGTTGGGAATTTTTTCTGCTATTCTGCAAAATTACTCCTTCGTTGACTAGAATGAATCATTAAATAGAAAATTTTATGAGAATTAAAACAATGTTATTTTTAAGATTAATATGCAGTCAGAAAGTTTTATAATTACTATTTATTGTAAATTTATCAGAAAAACTCATTATTTTTTGCATTTTTATCGTAATAGAACACTTAAATAGAAATCATAGTAATCATTTCTAAGTAATTTTTGATATTTAAAAAGATTCTACAATTGAAATATCCAGAAATGAATTAATTTTAATGAGTTACTTTAACCAAAAAAAAAAAAAATTATCATTTTGAATCCCTTTTGTGGTAAGGTAAAGGGTTAGATTTATAAAAAAAAACCAAATGATAGATAAAGACATGCATCTAAATAAAAAAAAATATACTGATTTGGTCATTTTTGATAAAGTTATAACAGTTAACAAAGTTATAAGTTTTATACACTGGACTACAAGGAACTTCCATCAGAAACAAAAATATACTATTCTAAATCAACTTTTCGCGATGTTTCCAAATGTGCAATTTGACTTTTTCTATCACTTCTAAGTTTTAATATTATTAAAAAATAGTATTTACATATAAAAAAAAATAATGAAGAACAAAAAAAATTGTTTTGAATTAATACTGATTTTGATTATTAATAAGTTAAAAATAAGGAAAATTACATATTTTACCTATTTTTTTTAATCGTTTAAAGTTGATTGTTGTAAATGTTTATAATAAAAAAAAAAAATTTATTTTACCATAACTTTTAGCTCAATTGGTAAGTTTGACATTGACATCATTTAATAGAAAATTTTATGACAATTAAAAAAATTGTATCGTTAAGATCAATATGCAGTCAGAAAGTTTTATAATTACTATTTATTGTAAATTTATCAGAAAAGCTCAATATTTTTTTGCATTTTTATGGTAATAGATAACTTAAATAGAAATCATAGTAATCATTTCTATTTAATTTTTGGTGTTAGATTCTACAATTGAAATATGCAGAATTGAATTAATTTTAATGATTTACTTTGACTAAAAAAACCAATAAAAATAAAACTCAGCACAGGGGGTCGCGGCACAGTGGTGACGTAGCATAGTTTTATCAAGTATAATGATATCTGACAGTGATTAAAATAACTATCATAAAAAATGCTTCGATGTAAATCTTTAGATAGTGTTTAATTTAAAAAAATTGATGGATTATTCCAAAAGCTACACGATTTTCTATTTCATTATTTATATCCTGATTAAGATAAAGTATGTCGAATGAAAAAGGGTTATAAATATTATTTCTCATAAAAAAAGTTGTGTTGATCCATACATTTTCCGATAAGTTATAGCATTATAAAGTTAAAAATATAAAAAATAAAATCGAGAATTTTCACACGAAAATAGATTTTTAAATTTGTAATTTTTTTGGAGGTTTCCCCCATTTACGGGGAACGAGGGAAATTTTTTCAATTTTTAAGGGTAATGCCTTCGACTAGATACGATTTGTAATCTTTTGACGTATCGTTGAAAGAAATCCGTTCGATGAGAGCTGAAAAAAAGTGGTAACAGACACAAAAAAAAAACACATAGTAAAACCAATACCTTCTCAGCTTCGCATCGAAGCTAAAACAATTCAATAACATGTTACAGACCTACCATAATTGTTATTTCAGTTATACAGGGTGATTTTTTTATCATAACCCACTCAATTACTTGCAGAATAATAGTAATTTAAACATTTTTTTTTTTTATTATCTTTAGTTACACATTATTCTTGAATTTTTAACTATATAATACTTTTTAAGTTCATCCCTTATGCCTTGGAGGGGGGTCAACTTTGTTTTTTTAAATGGTAACACATATTATTAATTTAATAAAATGTTTGAGTTTTTAATTTAATAGTAAATGGCATTTGAATTTTTAATATAACTTTATTAGCTTATTAGATATAAACATTTAAAGTTTCAAAATTTTGAGTTAATATACATGTATAATACACATGGGATTGTAAATACAGGTAGCTAATTGGATTTTTATGACATTGCTGTCTCAGTCACGGATTGTTTATTATCAATTATGATTATCAATAGATATACTTTCTGTATTGTCAGTTAGTGTATTTATAAACTCATAACAATGTGCCTTACTACAATTGATAATAACAATGCTGTGTACCTGCTAATATCGATGTTATAAAAAACCAATTAGCTACCTGTATTTGTAATCCCTTGTGTATTATACCTGTATATTAATTCAAAAATTTGAAACTTTAAATGATTATATCTAATAAACGAATTAAGTTATATTAAAAATTCAAATGCCATTTACTATTAAATTAAAAACTCAAACATTTTATTAAATTAAAAATATGTGTTACCATTTAAAAAAACAAAGTTGACCCCCTTACAAGGCATAAGGGATGAACTTAAAAAGTATTATATAGTTAAAAATTCAAGAATAATGTGTAACTAAAGATAATAAAAAAAAAAAATGTTTAAATTATTATTATTCTGCAAGTAATTGAGTGGGTTATGATAAAAAAATCACCCTGTAGATATATAATTCATATAGTGCACCCAAAGAAAAACCTCAATCAAAATTGAAAGAGAAATTTTATCAAGGGTTTATGATAATGTTTTATTAATACGAACAAAATAACTATTCTTATAAATAATTATTGTTCAAGACAAGAAAAAAAATATCATATTGATAAATATATCATTGATTCAATAGTAATGATATATTTATCAAATTGAACAATGAATTTATTATATAGATCGAGGTTTTTCTCTGGGTGTGAGTAGTATATTTTTATAATAATATTAAATTATTACACACTGAATACTCCAAAACGGCTTAGTTTTATCAAATGAAAGCTGGAAAATGTAATTTGAATTTTCACTTTGTTAAAATTATTGAATAATTTATTCAATACTTAAATTTTTGGTAAAACATTTATTTTATTACCCCTAGCAAAATTAATAATTATGAAGAAGAACTTTTTTTCGCTCATCAATATTAGTAATGCGGGAGGGGATATTTTGACGAGCAAAAAGAAAATGGTTATAAAAAAAATTCGGATAATTATTTTATTATTATTTAATTTTTAAAAAAACAATTTTAATTTCACTATTTTATAGACGCGTTTATATTTTTGAAAAAAATGTAGTAATTAATATAGCTATCTTCAATCACATTAATATAAATATAAGCAAATATACTTAATACGTTCATATTTATTAAATTAGCGTCACTTCAGTTTTTGAAATGCTGCAAAAATAATTATTATTATATGTTAAAAAAAATTAGAATACTATACTTGTTATTTTTTGAGCAGGTTTTTACTCTAAGATACTACACATTTTAGGGACGCCAAAATAATATAAAACTTTTTTTTTGCATAAGATGTATATTGTTTAAAATTATATTTTATAGAAGCGCCAAATATATAATTTTCTCAAATTATAATCCCTATATTTAACTTAATATGACAGAAAAAAAAATTGCAAAAATTTTATTTTGATTATTTTTCTCTAATATGTTCATTTTGCAAATTTTAAAAAACAATTCTACGCACTTTATAAAAATGGACATCCATAATACAAAATATTACATTTTTACTGATAAATGGTGACCACATTCCTTATCTATTTATATATCCACAACTGTATTTTCAAATAGTCTATGATAGAGTAATAAATACTTTTGCGATAACAAAAATCACATATGGTTCATATTTCATACCAATTTGATTCTTGTAGGAGTCTAATAGTACACATTTTTTAATGAGGAGTAATAGACCATTCTATAAGCTACAAATAATGCCACTGATCATTGCAGGAAACAAATTTCTATTCAAACTATTAATACGTATTTTTATAAAATGACAAAAATTTCGTACTAAAATAATTTATATACTTTATGTCACTGAATTATAGTTATTAGAACTTATAGGAATAAAATTGAAAATGTAAGATTAATAAAATAAGTTATAATCAAAGAATTAAAAAAAATATGCAAACAGCCCTAGTACAGCCTCAAAAATTAAATTAAAAGGTTATATCATTTTTAATTAAAAAAGCCTAATGCTGCTCATTATAATTATTTAATGGCTTAAAAATATAATTACAACCACTATACACCATGTATTTGTTTAACTAATCAGCATCTATTTAAAAACAGTTTTATTTGTTCTTAAGTGAAACTGTGTTCGTGCAATTAACATATGTACACAACAATTGCTTATTTAATCATTATACTCCGTTTACATAAATTTTCAATGAAAAAGTTTTTATTCAAAAGCTTGTCGTGCTCAAGTGAACTAAAAAATAATCTTCTATTGTTATATGAAACATTTTAATTGGCCAAATGAAACATAATTATTAATTTATTATTAAATTAAACTTGCACGAATTTTATCAACTTATATAGTTTTGTTAATAATAAGCATCGCATTCATTTCATATTCTAGTCTGTCAAAAAGAATAACACAAACTGTAAATTTTATAATCTTGGATTTTCGTGAATTTCTCAGTAAGTTATAGAAAATTTGATAATTTAAATAGTTAATAATTTAAAAACCCAACACAGTGGGGACGTGGCATAGTTGGGTCCAGTATATATTTAATCTGACAGTGATTAAAATCACAATCATTAGAAACGCTTTGTCGCAAATCTGTAGATAGTGTTTAATTTTAAGAAATTGGTGGATAATTACAAAAGCAAAATATTTTAAATTATATATTATATAATTTTTATAATTAATTATTTTCAAATTATTATTGATTATGATTTTTAATATGTTAAAAGTAATTACTTTTAATCTACTTTTTTTGGCCTTTAAAGTGAAAGTTTATAATAAAAAAAAAATGAATTTATTACCATAACTTTTATCTCAACTTGCAAGTTTCAAATTGACATAATTAAATAGAAAAAAATTATATTGTTAAGATTAATATGCACTCAGGAATTTTTGTAATTACTATTTACAGTAAATTTATTAGTAAAGCTCGATTTTTTTGTATTTTTATCGTAATAAATCACTTAAATAGAAATCCTATCTAATTAACTTTTGATGATTAAAAAGATTCTACAATTGATATATGCAGAATTGAATTGATTTTAATGATTCACTGTAATTAAAAAAAACAATGAAAATAAAGTTATTAAAAGTTGTACTCAATTGAGCGAATTATAAATTTTGATTATAAGTGTAAAAATCGATTGTTAAATTCAGGTGAAACTAATAATCATTTTTTTTTTTAGATTTGCGATTTATATAGCAACATGTTACCAAAAAATTTGGAATATTAACATTCTATAATATTCCAAAAATTTGGAATTTTATAGACTAATAGTAACACACACAAATAGAGTAAAAAAATTAATAAATTACAAAGTAAAATTATTTACTTTTGCAGTTGAATACTTTTATTATATCAAATCTAATTCGACAGTAAACACATTAAAAATATTAGAAATTAATCATTTTGATTGTTTGTATGGATAAAGCTGTTTAAGGTATTTTTTATTTGATTAAGGGATTTTTATTTAATTTTTGAGGGTGATATCTTCAACTAAATTCGAGTTGTAATCATTTGACGTATCGTTGAAAAAATTGGTCAGGTGAGGGTTGGCAAAATAAATCGTAGCCACAAAAAAAACCACATAGTAAAATAATATTAACATGAATATAAATTTATTCTCACGAGGGGAGACTATAGTGATGGGATCCTTTATATTTATTGAAGTTATTAAATCTAAATGAGATAATAATCAAATGATTTGAAAATTTTTCTAACTTAAAAAAAATGTAAATTATTAATTGCCACAGGCGAATTCAAACCAAGTACCCTATTCGTGAAAGACACAAGTGTTACCGATTTGGCAACTGTTCGTCGCTTTCGCCGATTAATAAAATAAGCAATTTAAGCTAATTCAAATTTTAAAGTCACTCTTTCAATTTTATAAAAGTAAAAAAATTAAATAAGTTTAACTTCTTATGTCATATGAATTTTATTCTAAATAATAATATAAGCTTTAATTTATGATTAAATAATAATGTCAATATTTCTGGAACATTTTCAAAAATTGAATAAACTTAACTTGCGTGCAAAAATTGTTTTTTTTAATTCCCCTGCAAGTAGGTTTAGAGTCAGATTTTCAAAAAAATTATATCAAATGAAAGAAAAATATCTAAGGTATCAATATAAATAAAAAATTATTTTAATTTGTTCATTTTTCAAAAAGTTATGGCAGTTTTAAGTATTAAAATATTTTATGTTAAATAGTGATTTTTACATAAAAATTATAAGTTTCGTAAAATTCGACGGCCAGTTTCCCATAGAAAAAAAGGCATCGGGACAAATTTTTTTTTTTAACTTATAGTATTTATTATAAGCTTTAATTTGACATATGTTTAAAGGACACAGTATTTCCGAAACATTTTCAAAAGTTAAGTTGAAAAAGTTCTACTTTTTATACGTATTTTTCAATTTTTAAAAGCCCCCTGTATAAAGGAAAATTATCCAAATTTAAATAAAATGTATGTTAAATGAAAGAGGTGTATATAATGTATTTAGAAAAAAAAAATTGTATTGATACATACATTATTCAAAAAGTTATAGTAATTTAAAATCGAAAATTTTAACACAAAAATAGCATTTTTTTAACTACGGCAGCTGTTTGCACGTAGAAGATAAGGTGTCGGGACAAATTTATTTTTTTTCACTTTATAGTACATGACATAAGCTTTAATTTGATATACGTTTAAAGGATGCAGTATTTCCGGAACATTTNGACATAAAATAAGCTTTAATTTGATATATGTTTAAAGGATGCAGTATTTCCGGAACATTTTCAAAAGTTAAGTTGAAAAAGTTAGTTTTTGTAAAAAAGTTGCTATTTTAAATCTCCCCTGTGAGCAGGTTAAGTGCTACATTTAAAAAAAAAATTACATCGATTAAAAGGAAAATTTTTAAGGTTTCAATAAAAAAAAAATTAAGTTATTTTGTTAATTTTTTGTTAATTTTTAAAAAAGTTAAGGTAGTTTAAAAAAAAAAAATTGAAAAAAATTACCGATTTGAAAAATTGTAATTTTTTTGGAAACTTCCCCCATTTAGGGTGAACAAGAGAATTTTTTTCAATTTTTAAGGGTAATTTCTTCAACTAAATACGAATTATAATCTTTTGACATATTGTTCATCAAAATCGGTCCAGTGAGAGCTGAGAAAAAGTGGCAACAGTCACAAAAAAACACATCATGTTAAAATTAATACCTTCTCAGCTTAACTTCGATGCTAAAAAAAACCTCTAATATGAACTTTATAACGGAAGGTTATGTTAGTATCAAAAAGATCAGGTAATATTAATACTTCAAATAGATAATATATATTTGAAGTAATAATTATATATATGTACATTGTACATTTAATTAATGCATATTTGAATAATTCACACCTGTATAAACAATACATTTTCAAATCATTAAATAAAAATTATAAATAGTTTTATTAAATATCAAAAATGAAGAATTTAATGATTAAAATTTTATATATTTTTAAGCATTGTAATCTAATTTTTTGTAAGTTAATTTTAAATCAAAATAAAATTTAATAATATGAAGTTTAATGGCAACAATTATTAAGTTCAAAAAAGTTTTTAACTGAGTTTAAATGATTTGAGTAGAAATTATAAGATTAAAAATGTAATTAATTAATATGAATAATATTATTGAAGATATTCAGAGGATTTATCATTTCGAACTATTCAGCGACATGGGTAATGTGATAATTGAAATATTACAATTTTGTTCATTCATTTTTATATTTGGTTTGGTTAATGGAGAAGATATCTGCAGTTATTATGATGATGAAGATTGCATTGATCCTGCAGTGACCAGTAATGTACCATTTTACAAAAATGAATGGGCTGTCGAATTATCAGGAATGTCCGAAGACGAAGCAAAATCTTTTGTAGAAAAACTAGGCTTTCATTATATAAAACGGGTAATGCTAACAATTTGATAATTTCATTAGTTTTATGAAATTATTTTATGTGTTAACTGTTAGTTAGGGAACGAAAAAAATAATTTATTTGTTATTACATCAGACACTGTGCCATCGGAACACATCATGCCCAACCAAAAAATGATTGACTTATTACTGCAACACAAAAAAGTAATATTTTTTATACTACGTTAGCATTTTCCCATGAAAATCTTATTGATAATTATCAATAATAATAAACCAATAGTATTGATTATATAAATTAATTTAAATTAAATTTAACTTATTATTTAATACAAAAGAAATATTTGATATTCTGTAGAAAATTAGGTATTACCTGATTATTCGAGTTAATAATCTAAAATAATACTTTAAAAAAATTGAAAAATTATTTGATAATTAGTTCCATAAATTATTTCTTTTTTTGTGATTTTTAAAACATTATAATTAAATTTGATATGATTCATTATGTTATTTTAAAAGGTAGGGTCAGTATCACAGAAACAGATGACTTCACATGTTGGTTCCAGTGGCTCTTTCGAAACTGCAGAAAACATCTCATTTCAGCGCTTAGATCCTGACACAATCATAATCGATAATGGAAAAGAAAATTTGGAGAGAATTTTAAGTACCATGACTAAAGAAGAAATAGCTACTATTCCCTCCAGGCCTTCATCGTCTAAAAATCTCGAAGATTCAACTAAAATTGATAATAATGAAGAAATATTGTCTTCGGACAGAAGCAATGAAGTCGAATCAAACAGTGTGGACACACAAGACTAGGTTGTTGCGTTCGAAAAAAAAATCCCTCATAAGTGTTTAAGCTAAGATATAATTGCATAGCTAACAATAAAAATATATGATTATATTACAATCTAAAAATATTAACGTCTATTTAATGACAATTGTTTTTCTTAAATAGTTTTTAGATATTTTTCTTAGCGAGGAATTTTCCTGAATATAGTACTATTGTCATACATTACTAATTAATATTATTAACTATATAATAAAGAAAATGTAGCATTATTAATCAAAAATATTAAACTATTGTTAATAAAAGTTTGATTGATAAAAAACATTGCAGAAATCGAATTTTTAATGTGACTTTTAACCATCAAAATGATCATAGGCATAGGTATGTACGACTACGGATAGTACCTGTAATGCCTGATCAATAAGTGCAAAATTCAAATATTTAACTTAGGTAAAATAAATTAATAATCAGGGAATGTACTAAATTATTCCTCTTACTTAACTTTCTTTATTTCATCGGTTAAAATTTTATTTGCTGTAAGTGACACTAGCTATATAGTGTTGTAGACAATACTACACCAATTCCATAAATTGTTTTCATTTAGTGATAACATATATATTGCGTGTTATCAATGATTAAACTATGTGCTTTAAAATTAGTAATCAGCAATGGACAATACAAATAATGAGTGTATGATGTTAAAATCTCTTTAGGTTTATAATACGCCCACTACCAGGCAAAAAAAGTAAAATTTACGAAACTCACAATGCTTATTATACCAGTATTTGAGTATTAGGGTGTCCCTTATTTATAAAATTTAAAAATTACAAAGTGCCACTCCCTAGAATTATTCGAATACATGAAAAAATAAATTGTACAAAATTTGGAGACTATTGATCAACTCTAAGACGTGCCCCAAGGGGGTTAAAAGTAACCCCCTAAGGGTGATTTTTTAGTTTTTTTTGTCTATCTCAAAAACTTTAGCTTTTGCGAAAAAGTTTATTTAGACTTTTTTGTAGGTATACAATTTTTCTATAAAAAGTATATTTACAAAAATTTTCAAAAAGTTCTTATTTAGCCCTAAAAAAATAAAAATGTATATATTCTATTCTTACCGTTGAAATTGTTTATATATAAATCGTTCATTGTAAAAACATAAAAAAAATTCATTTAACCGTTGTTTTAAATTTAATTTTCTATACATTTTTAATTCGACATTTTTTCTATTATTTACTATTCAAAACCTACAATTTTTTAAATTTTAATTAAAAAAAAAC